TAACGTAACGGAATACGTTACAGAATACATTTTGGGGCATGTAATCTGTAATCTGTAATGGAATACATTTTAAAAGTAACCTTCCCAACACTGCTAATGACTCATTAGTAGTTAACAGAAACCTGGGCTTGTTCTTATTTCCTTTAATCAGCGATTGAAGAAAATAAGCTTTATAGAGGGTTTTTTTTAAAGCAACAAACTACTTCTCGAGGCTAAATGATGATCTTCTAAATTAGTGACGCACCATTTCCTCTCCAGCTTACGAGTCATCTGCTTTAAGATGTGGGTTTGAGAGTTTTACACTAACGAGTTGTACGCAGTAAGGTTGGGCGATATGTAAAAGTTTTCCAACTGATAATCATCAGTCCAATAACCGACGATATATTTGCGCAGGTGCAGAATTTTTGGTGGGTGGAGCAATGCAATCATGCACAGACTGATTTGCACATTTAGAATTTATATGTTTTGTTTGAGGGAATATTTTACCTTCTTTTCTTGTTTGTTTCAGTATTAATATAACTGCTTTTGGATTTTTCTTCAAAAGTATTTATTTGAGATGCGCTAAATTACAAAGAAGAACATTTTGATTTTTAACTCCGTTTTTGTTTAAGCTTGCATTTGTTGTTTGGTCGAGTGTGTGCGACAGATAAACACTGGGACAGCTTGTAAACACGGTTATAGTGGAAAAAGAAGCCACTTTCTCTTTGTTTCCCATTTAAATCAAATGTTTTTATTTTTTCTGAACATGAGCTTCTGCCTTTCTTCCTGTCATGAGTTTGAATAAATGAATCGCTACATCTGGGCGCACTCTGAGCTCGGTGCGTTTGCTCACAGCTGGAAGACGGTGCCGTCAAAACAGCCCAATTATTTTTCCATTGACTGCTTCTCTTAGCTTCAATCAACATTATTAGCAAACGTACTCGTGGGCAGATAAATAAATAAATGAATAAATCGCTCTTGTAAAAACGATTGGTGAAAGGCTCCGCCTACGTCGATAGTGGATATATTCGTCCAGTCGCCCAACTTTAAAGATAGTGTGGAGAGCAGGGAAATATTTACTGCTACTATTCATAATCATCATTACCATTACATTAATTATCATTTCATCAAAGCATTTATTCAATAGATTACACATGTTCTTAGTTATGATTATTACACCTATCACAGAGAGCTTCTGTCTGGTAAAAGGTTAGAAGCGCCAACGGGCGGGTGAGGCCGAGTGCGTTGGAGGTCGAGACACACACACAAACAGTAGTTAGACTCATGTTTAGGTAAGAGTTCAAATAATAGTTTGCAAAAGCTTGTGACTGCAAAATTGTGTCTGCCTAAGGGACAGTTTGTTCCAGGAGATAAGCGAGAGTTAGAAGATTAATAGGAAGCACCTCGAGACGGAGAAGATGTCCTTTTCAATGTGTCAAAAGTCGTCAACAGAACATTTGTTGTTTATGACTTTCTGTGTCGTTTCTGGGATGCTTAGGACTCATATTGCACTGCTGGAAATAGTTTATTTTGATGCATATGCTGCTTTTTTGC